GCTGATGCCCTTTATATTCTTCATTTGGGAAAGTTTAGCCCTGAGTTCAGCAGCAGTGGGCTCCATTGATGATGAACCTGCGGGACCTAATAATAGCTAAGCCTCACCCTTAGACTGAGAAAAGAGGAGAGAGGGTACAAAAAAAAAGTGTTATCTGATATATCTTCGGCGGAAAGCGGGATGAAGTCAGCAACGAAAAGTGGAAGGGGAGCTTCAACCCTCACCTTAGGAAGGCAGAACCCGTGTTCTACAAGAGCCCAAGGTTGGATGAGCTCAGAATATTTCTCTGGTTTGTATTTTTCCAATTTTCGCAATACTCACTCCTCTTCAGCGCTGAGCTCAGGTCGAATACCTAGAAAATCAAGGAAAACAAGAAGTAAGTTAACAAAGCAGCCAGACTTGGAGTAAATACGGTCTGGGCAGAAACATAACCAAATTATCAGGGGCAGATCACTCTGTAGGGATGGGGAGGGTATTAGTTTTATCCTCTGAGTTGAACTCCCATTGTGTACCGCCTATAAAGAAAAATCGTTTCTTCCAGCCCTTATGGGAGCTTGGGAGGTCAGAGATGACCTGTTTGGCCTTAGTCCTCTTGAAAATATACAGAAAGCCGTCAGAGGAGGTCTGCTTGACATTGAACAGCTCCATAAGTAAGGAAACAGTAGGGACCCTAAGCTTATGGTCCTTAAAGAAGACTAGTAAACCCATAAGAACACCCTAGAAGTTGGGGGAGAGCTGGGCAGGGCAGACATTGAAGTGTTGAAGGACAACTTTGATAAAAAGATACGGGGGGAAGCGAAGTCCGTTATCAAAAGCTGTCAGGAAGAAACAGACCTTCTTATGGACATGGTGAACAAATATGGTGTACTCATCAGGACTCCAAGGCTGAACCCCTAGGGAAAAACGAAAGCGAGCACTAAAAACCTTCAGGTCAATAGGGGTAAGTCCGCTAGAACCTACAAGTTCAGTGTTCCTAAAGGTAGCCCCTACTTCTAAACCAATGACTCCCACACCACTCACCTTGCCCTTACCCTTGTCAGCACTAGGGGGCACACGAGAGGAAGATGAAGGGAGTTCCTTGGAGTCCACCTCGGTATCGACATCCTCAACACCGAGGAAGTTGTCAATCTCATCACCTACATCCCCTAAATTAGAATCTCTTTTAGCAGACCTGTCGCCTAAGAGGGAAATAGAGGAAGGAGTTGCTCTAGAGGAGGCAGACATGACTGGCAAAGAGAAAGACAAGTCAAAAGAATTATAAAAAGGAGGAATACTAACTAAACACCCCCTGACAATCCTAGGGTCAGCACTGTACCTCCCGACAGTAAGAATTCGCACAATGGAGTTCCAATCCACAAAGCGGGGAAGAGAAGATAGGCAACGATCGCGATTCCAAAAGAAAAAGAACCGAAAAACCCAGAAAAACAATGGTCACCTCGAAGTCGAGGGATCCAGAGTGAGGAAAGGCAAGAGAAAGAGAAAGGGGCAGAAGGAAGCGTACCTAGACAGGGAAGAGAGCAACAAACAGCAGCCAAAGAACAAAATTGGAGGAGAGGAAAAAAGCAGGACTTCGAGTCGAATCCAGAAAGCACAGTCTAGAGCAGAGAATAAGAGAATTGCGTGGAGGAAAGCCCAGAAATCACAGAGAGAAAGAGCCGAAGACGAAGGTGAACAACGTAGAAGATGGACGGTGGTTTTATACGTTTTCTTTTAGCCGTTTTGAGCATTTAAGACTTGAAAGACGTGGGAAGAGGCGTGCATGGGAACCAAGGGAGCCATGATTATTGCTACCGTCAAAAAGTCCCTCCCACGTGTATCTCACATGCAGGCTAAGGTCAGCTAGGCGCAGGTCTAGTCTAAGGTAAAAGCAGCTCAACCCATGCCCAAGCTCGCTTGGGCTAAGGACTAGGGGGCAACTGATGATACCTCAAAATAAATCTCAAACGCCAGCTCAGAAGGTCAGCTCAGCCCAAGAGGTCAGACTAGACGAACAGAACTCGGAAGAGTAGAACTGGAGGTCCCTTCGAGATAAGCAAGGGCAATAACAACCAAGGTAACAGCTGGAAGATCACGAAAGGTTCTTAAAAGCGTTAGGAAGTAATAATCAAGACACATAATCTCAACCAACCAAGATCTTCTCCTGTAATCAAGGAGAACCCCACGAAATAAGGGCAAAAATCTCGGCTAAAATCCCACTGAATAAGGAATAGCCCTATAAATACTATGTAACGCCCCCAAGGAACGGGAGGAACCCTAAAGACAAAATTAGTCATTGTACTCTTGCAATCTTCATTATTGAAAGACAAGGAGCAAGAGTCTCCATTAAAGAGTAAATTAGCCGAGTTCCCGAGCTGGTGAACCACTATATTCCTACTGTATTAATTCTCCAACTCCCTGACAATTCTCAATATCATTCACTCGAGTCTAGTAGCTCAGATCCCAACAATTCCAATATTGTTTCTTTCATTTACTTGTCATCACAAATTTGCATCACGTTGAAATACACCATTAATGTCAAATTTTTAAATCCAAATAGTATTAGTCTTACTCTAATGCCATACATGGTTAGTGACAAAGAGATAAGGCTAACATAATGACCCTCTTAAATAAACATTTAATGTTTAAGATGAAATTTTGATACAAATTTAGTAGGTAATTTCAATCTAGATAGAGCAGATTCACAAGATAGCGTGAATCTACTTGGATTAATCGTTTTATAAACCATGGCGTTACTTTGGTTCCTGCCATTAGCTACTTGTTTAGAACACCTTGGTTTGATCATAAATACAAAAATTTCGTTTTATTATTTGAATGTCGTGGGTCGCTCCGCCTTCAAAGACTTCTTTTTTGGGTGCAAATTTAGGTTGTATCGTTTTTTTTTTTACATATATTTTTTGCTTTTTTAAAAATTTTAATTAGCATTTATATCAAATTTTTGTTTTTCCTTCATCTAATTTTGTTATTTTTTAGTGTACATATATTATTCAGATGCATTTAGATTACTTTTATTAGTAATAATCTAACATGCTATTGATTTTTTTAAAACTATTCTTTTGTTTTAAAAAAATTATTAAAAATTGTTAACAAATGGTATCTCGATACTCAATGTTAGCATGAAAATGATTCCATACGGTATGATTTTCAACGTTGAACTTAGTGATAGAAAGTGAATAAATGTTCTCGTCATCCAACTTTGTTCATGTCAACCATATTCTTCTCTTACGAGGAGCAAAATAGACATATGACCTTGGCATTTGACCTCTCTTCCCGTGTGACTAAGAATGTTCGGTTATAACCTCTCAATTGTCACCTCCCTTGCGATAGCACTAAGTGTGATCAGCACCAATCGTGCTCGGGCAATGACACTTACACATATTCACACTCGTTCATCCTACTGTGCACCAGACCTTTCCTAACTCTGCTCTTCATCCAAGTCGTTATTTTTGCAATCGGGCAATCGGGGCAGGGGCGGAGGCAATTGCCTCAACTGAAATTCTGAAAATTTGTAGGGTTAATTTAAAATTATAATAAAAATTAATTTTTTTTAATTACTTGCCCCTACTCATTTTTTTTAATGCATTAAAAATTTAGACTCAAGGTTCGCTCATAGAGACTTAATCTCACAATTTTTTATTTAATCTCTAGTTATATTTATTCATTCTGCAATGAGTCACTTAAGTTACCGAATCAATCCTTCTCCGAATTCGATTACTAAGATATAGATATATATTTTTGACCAATTATCTAAATTCAAATATACTATATCATTTTCTAAGATTTTAGATTTGGGCGCAAAAAAAACTTGATCTAATTATGATTCAATTCAATTCACTTCGATTCAATTTGATATGCATATACAAATATGTATATGTAAACATTTGATAAAACTAAACAATTAAATTGAATTATAATTATAATGCGACACTCACACACACACACATAAGATTAGATTTTTGATAAAATTTATAATATTTAATAAATTCGAATATGGATTAAAAAAACGAAATTAATTGAATAATTATATTAATTTAAAATAGGATTTTCAGGACAAATTGTCATTCGAATGAGTCAAAATCTTATCATTGACAAACACACTCGCAAAATGATATGTCAAAATAGCATTCTCTATGAAAACTGTTTTTATTCTAATGCTTTTAAAAAAATTATATTAGTTTTTTATAGTCGGTTATTATTTTTTTGTGTATTTATATGTGAAATCTTTAAAAGTAAAAAAAATAATATGAAGAATTATTTTATAAAAAATTTATATTAGGAAAAAAAATTTTTATAGAAAATGAAATTTTGAGATAATAAATATATTTACTAGATGCAACAAACTTTAATAATTGTTGAGTAATCATTCTCTTTAACCTGATGATAGCCTTCAGTTCTCTTTAACTTGATGATTGCCTCCGCTGATAAGAAATTCTGGCTCTGCCCGTGTGATCGGGGGCGACAAATAGTTTGAGAGATTACAATATGGTAAAACGGAAACAAACTGCAATTCATCCACTAAATAGTGGGATATGACCAATATTGGCCCTTCGGACAAGAGATTGAGATCGCTAGCAATGAGTTTTGGATCATCCACTATCATATATCTCATGTTTCAAGGGCGGAAAAGCGAAAAATGAAGTTAACAAACTAAGAAAGTCATGATCAGCATAGGTATAATATAAGGAAGATGTGGGATGGTCCAGTGATCATCCAGACACACAATTGATTGTAGGTTCGATTCTCCTATCTTCGCCTTCCAGCATGAATGTCTTTATCAACGAGAGACACCGATATACCACAGAGCATGATCACTTGATTTCCATAACAAGGCCAACAGAGTATGATACATCAAACTATAACAGATACTTGAATTATAGGTGACTGCTATATGGATATAGTGTTTCCAAATATCAAAGCAACTGGTCAAAGATAGGATAATAGACATTGGAACTATCATATCTGTGACTTATTCCGAATCAGAAGCACTTGAGAAAGAGCATAGCTTAATGTTTGATCTTAGGCCTCTTCACAATCATCACAGTGCAGTGAGCATGATGAGCACAATAGTCACTTACACTACCCAACACAGCCCTGCAAGACCAATTGAAAGTGTATTAATATAAGTGAAAGTTTTTTTTTTTTTTTTATAAATTTCAATGGCTTAAGGGAGAAATTGTCTATGATGCATTATGAAACAACAAACTAGAAGCTTTCAGTTGATGACAAGAAGAGCAAACTTGCAAAAAGGTCAAAATCTTTGAACAACCAGTTTTTCTTTGTTGGCTTTTTTGTGGGTGAGGGATTACAGGTCTTATTATTTGCAGAAACAAATTACGCTTGCATGGCAGTATTCCACATCTATCCGATGGTAGAAAAGACCAGACGCCTTTCAACTTTTAATAAGTAACCAAGAACAAGCAGTTAACTAGGCTTGTAGACATTATGAAAACTTTCAACTTTAAATAACCAAGAACAAGCATTGACTCCTAGACACAATGAAATTTGTTTGACAAAAGCTACCTACTGGAAGTTTGAGTGAACCGAAATCATTCTTCTTTCTTAAAAGCAAGGAAACTCAACATCTATCTAGGCGGAGAAATTTGATTTTATGAGTCATCTTGAAATGATTGTGTTAAACCAATCCAAGCCCTAAGACAGTATAACCCCTCTGATTACAGGCAAAAATATATTAACAGTTAGATCAGAATTATATTAACAGTATAATCCAAGTCTAAGTACATAAATTTTATGAACAGAGTTAGATCACTTTTTCAGGTTGGGGTGGTTTGGGGTGGGGGGAACAGATTAGATCGCATAATCTATATTATGTTAAAATCCCAAGATCCGTAGCTAATGTGCTAATTCCATACCTCTTTATAGCTCCGTAGCCATGACTACCCAAAACCAACATTGAGGCATGGTGTTTTTCTACAGCGTCGCAGAGAACATTTCTAGCATCTCCTTCCACAACTTCCACTGTCACATCATTCACCTGCATAGAATTGTTGCTTAACGAATTGTACTGGGCACCCACACTTCAGGCTCAAAGGCTAGGATTATCAATTTACAAACTGGACTACTAAGAATTCCAGATAAAATATCAAATCAAGTAGAACAGTTTAGGATGATGAGCATATATATATTGTTTTCACCCGTCCTAAACTCTGAATGAAAATTAATGAAAAAATTAGAAGCACATAAACCCATTTGCAAATGTAACTTAATTTAAAGAAAACATTATTTGCATTGGCCCAGTCAGGAAAGCATGTGAATTTACAAAAGAGGGAATAAAGAGAGATTCCTTCTAAAAAGATACTGGGTGATCAGCCGAACTGAAAGATATTGAATTCTGCCATTTATTTATGAACTACAACGGAGGCATCAGTGATAAACTTTTTATCACTAATAATTGCTATGGATGATTTGCTGTGCATTATTTAAGAAAAACACCAAACAGGTGCATATATTCCAATGAAAATAGTATGGATTATTGATCCACTATTCAGCTCACAGTTACTCAACCTATAGCTTTAATATTTGTTTCAAAAATGTGACAAGTATGGTGATTAGTCATCACATTAGTCCCAAAACCCAAACATTGCTGGAATCTGCCTCAATCAATGATCTCCAGTTGAGATTTTAGGAACAAAGAATTGTTTCTACTTTCCTGTGTACAGCAGTACATGCTCGGGCAAACACGTAAATACATGCATAAACTTCCTCCACAGCATTTCCATTCCATCGAGGCTTGATGATCTTTGCATCAATACCCTTCTGCTACAGACAACATCAGTCAATAACACCAGATCAGGAAGAATTTCTCATTCTCAGCCACAGTCCCAACTGTTTGGGGGACTCAGCCTGCTTTTCGAAGCCGTCCTTCTATATCTCTTAGAGACCCAACCAGATGAAGAAAATCTTCTGCCCAGATCCCGATTATGGAACTTATCAATCAAACATTTACAACTTTCACTTAGACTTAAAATTCAGTACTGTACCTTATTTCTCAAGATTTAATAATCCAAAACAGAACTCTAAATCCTGGAGTTGATATGAAAAAGTGACTCTTTCAAGACCTGCACATCTAAAACTATGTGATTGAGAAAAAAATACACAATAGAGTCATAGTTCAGAATCAGACAAACATTAGTTTTTTTCTCCATTCAACATCGATTTCATTCGGCCAGAAAGCCGCATAATTCAATATAAGAATAGAAAAAAATAGTGTTTACTCGGAAAGCACAATAATCCAACTTCATTAATACTTAGAGTGGCTGGAATCTAAGAGACATCATCCAACACAGCAATAAAATACGTGAGTATTTGGGGGGAAAAAAGTAACTAGCTCAGAGAAAGAAAATAAGAAAAAGTAAAATCAGTTGATGATTACTGATTTAGCGACGCAAATCTCCTTGGCTTTTTCAATGACTCTAGCAGCTATCCTTTTCAGATCCGAATCCACGTACGGCAGAACATCGGCGGCACCTGCATGTTTATCGGAATATAAAGCCACTTAAAATTCATTAATTGAAACACCAAATCAAAGCAAGCAATACATCCCGATCCAGACAATAAAGAAACGTGTGTTGTGTGTATTTGTATGTGCGTGTTTAGACGCATAATTGAATCGAATAAAATTGAAAATACCAGGACCGGCGAGGCCGATGGCAGCAATAGGAGTAGGCTTGGCGTGGACAAGCACCAATTTGAACGGAGAATGCGCAGTGGACGGGGTGAAGAAGTGATCAAGAATCCACTCTAGTGCGTAGACGCTGTGCTCGCTATCGTCCAATCCGACCAGCATCACTTCTTTCTCCGTCGTCGTCATCGGAGCTCTGCGATCGAATCAAGCGTATAGAGGAATTTGTCCAAAGTGTAATTAAAGTTAGAGAAGACAACCCGAACCGATTCGAAATTTTTGGTGATTTCTGGAAGAGATAGTGCTGAAGCTGCTGCTTTATGATGTGTGGATGGATCGCTGATTAGAGAATAATGGCCGACTACGCAAAGTAAGAGAGTCGTTGTTTGTGGACAACTGGTTTTTGATGTGAAAGAGAGAGAAAGATAGTGGGCGGGGTGACGACGGCGGTGTTGCCTTTGTACAGACATCGTTGACGAATAGGGTTAGTAGTCAAATTGAGATTTGAGAGTCCAAATTTGACCAATTTATTTTAAAAAATGAGTTTAGTTGAGCTCGAGCGAAGTTAAATTTTACGAGTTTGTATCCAATCTTTTAAGTTTATTTAATAAATAAATTAAAAAAATTATTTAAATTCAATTCATTAAAAACACAAACCAAATTCTATCTAAACCTAGTTGAAATAATCTGCTCAATTATCAGCCATATTCACTTATTACCATGACTTTATGGTCTAAAAATACAGATACTATTCTTAATCTTTGCAAATATCATTGTATCCCATCACAATTTACTTTCTCCTTCTAAATACCACCCTATTCATTGTTGTTTTTTTTTTTCTTTTTGGGTTATCTGTGTAATTAAGCAATCAATCAATTTGCAATAGCCCAAGTCGATGCCCCTTCGTGGTGTTCCTTTCTAAAATTATGGCGTTATTACAATCCCGCAAGTTATTGATTTTAACTCTCAAACACACTAGAAAGAGGACAAGCAGAGGCTTATCACTCAAGGAGGTATACACATACGTCCCCAATAACACAAGCCCAGACACCTTAATGAGGACAGACAATAAGTCCGGCTAATTCAAACCTAAACTTTAGTTTGTTTGTTTTCTTTATTTTTTTTTGGGGGAGGGTTTGTTTTCAAACCATAGGTAGTGTCAGTGCCCTTTTTTGTATAATTAGGATCCCCTTTGAAGAATAATTAAAGAAGGGATGTCTAATCCTTTTGCCGCTGCAAGGATGGCTAATCGTACGCAGCAGGCTCAACCGTGATTCTTGAAGGCACATGAGTCCGAATGCTATGCTGAATGTGCGACCAACACTACACCATGTAGGTACCTGTGCAGGTGTGTAGGTGCTTCTTATTCTTCCTTGTCTGATTCCTGGCAGAGGACAATAAGTTTTGAAGAAAATTTCAGGTAACACATTCAGACACTCACAGCTGACTTTTTCCCCCCTTGTGTTTTGGGAGCCAGGGGATGGAGTGGTTAAGGGCACATAACCTTGAATTGTTCATATATAGATGTTGTCCCGAGTGAGAATTTGAAGCAACTAGAAATTATACAATGCCAGACTAACAAGGGTAAAACAACTGTGACTATTCAAAAGCTCATTTCATCATATGATAAATTAGAATTGAGAAAAATGTAAGAATGCAACATCAAAGCCTCCCGAGTCTTGACATATTCCCAGGTCATACTAATCAAGATTAACTGGACAAAATCAAAGGATTCCTTCCTTTGTTCATGTGATATCTTTTGCATAGTTTCTCCAGAGTAGCTACCGAATGTTGCATCTTGTTTAGTTTGGTATCCATAAACATGCCCTGCAAAAGGAACTAGTGAGGAAGGGAACAATGAACCCAACAAATCATAAGAGTTTCTAAAGCATAAGCTTCTCATCTACCTGGTAGTCATCTCCATATTTCTCCAAAAGCCGACCAATGTGAAGGCGTTGAATGACTGTCAATGGTTGCAGAGGTGCAGTTTTCCCATCTCTTCGCTTCTTCCCAAGAGCTGATTTTAAATCTGCAACCCAACCACATATAATGGCATTAACACTACGCAAAGATGGACAAGCAAATTTGCATTTCAAGGTTGCGCATGATGCAACACATCTCAGAACTTATTGGAATCCAGGTCAACTATTAATAAATGAGAGTTGGTATCACTACAAGCTAAACATATATAAGTAACTTAATAACTTTTTTGTATTTAAGGATTTTTAGATGTGCTTGGTACCTAATCAGGTAAGAGGAAGCTCCTCCTGCCAGCAACCTGTTTAACCTTTGGCCCATCATATGTCTGACATGCGTTCATTCCACAATCTTTTATATTTCTCTCTTTCATCATCATAATACCTATTATATCTTTTTTGATCCTCTTTGGTCTTTCCCTTTTTTTTTTAGTTTATAGCATGACTTGTAGAAACCTCTCACAATCTTCTGATTCTCAATTCACCAAATGATACAAGGCTTTTTCATAGCCATCTCTGTCTTGGATTATTTCTATTTCTACATATCTGATATTATGACCCGCTGATGCTTATTCTTTGAACCTTCTGACTTCTTAGCAGTTCATTGTTCAACATTTTCTCTTCTTTTATTTTTCCCTTTTTTATATTTTTATTTTTTTTCCCGCGCGGGGGGTGGGGGGGGTAGGGTGGTCAAAACAATTCATGTTAAAACATGTTGAAATTAAGGATTAAAACTAGGTTTCAAAACACCAAGTCTTTCAATTTTTTTGTTTGCTGTTCAATTTGAACCATAGTTCAAGGTCACGATATAGGCCCTTGAGTCGGGAGCCACTGAGACACATCGGTATCGGCCAATACGCCCAAAACACTATATAGAAGGCTCAAAAAAATTAAAAAAAAATTGTAATAAATGTAAACATCATCATCAATGAATCATATCCCTAAAAGACATTATTTAACACATTAATCATTGCAAAAAATAATAATAAGGATACTACCGAAAAATATTTATTATCATCTATATTCAGGATTAATATAATTTAATTAGTAATTTTTAAAAATTATAATTATAAAAAAATATAAGTGTATATATATGGTTAACTTGATAGCTTTAAAAATGAAAATCAATTTATAAAGAAATTCTTCATTTAATTATTTATTATGTATCTAATTAGAAATTATATGTATTTTCTCCATTATGTATATTTAATTATTAAATCATCAATACATATACAAAAACAAACTTAAGAAATTAAGTTCTAATTAGATTATATGATAATACTAAAAATTATATAATTAAAAAAATTAGACCCAAACCGAAAAAACAAAAAGAAGGGGGGGGAAATAAATTTTAGGATCTCATTCCTAAAAAAGCCCTAAGCCTCACGTATTTTGACCCAAATGCTCTCTCTTCAACTCTCAGGCTTTCTCTTCAACTCTCAAACATCATTGATCGAGAGAGAGAGAACACAGAGACGATGGGGGGCGACGAGCAACACCAGCGACCGCGAGAGAGAGGGGGAAAGTGTCTGGATTTGGTTTCTAGAGGGTTGCTACATCGTTCGGTAGCAGCGCCTACCGCTACTGTTACTCCGTCTCCTAGGGATTTTGCATCTGCGATGAAGATGAAGATGAAGAGGATGAGGAAGTGAAAGAACAATAATTACAAGGGCTTTTGGTCTGGATGTTGTACAGGCATGTGTGTAAATTCTAATTCTTCATCTTTTTATATTATGGAGAAAAAAAAAAGAGCTGATTTAGGGTTAATCTTCTATCACATCTCTCATGCCTTTTTTTGGCATTTTTTCTCTATTGGTCTGTATTTTGAAAGCTTGTTTGCCCGTAATTGATTCTATTGGAATGAATTAGTTCGAATCGGTGACGAATCGCTGTCTCGCCTGAGTTGTATCGATTTTAGCCGAGACAAAACCGATTTAGGTTCGATTCAAGATTTTTTCGTTGCGGGTATCGTTATCGTACCGGCCATGGCCGAGACGTCCGTCTCGGCCGATATGACTTGAACCATGATTTGAACAGCAAGCAATTGAAACTGCCATGTGACAATCTTCATTCTCTTGGGGATTGGGGAAGGTGGTGTTTGCAAGTTTGTAGAGTGACGAAGTGGATGAGACTCTGAGCATTGACTGATGCAGTTGGCCGAAAGTGAGTGTGAGATGCATACTTTAAAAAGCGCCAGCATACAATTTGAACACATAAGAAGAGAAATCTAGGGTGGAACCCAAAAGAAAAGTCTTAAACCTAAAATTATCTACTTTCGTTCCTTATTCCTTTGCTTTATCATTCAATAATAAAGGGACATTTTTTTTCCATTTCTTCCGACTTCCTCGCAATCCACACAGAAATTAAACCAAATTCAAGCAATATAAACAGATTAACATGTAAATTAAACCAAATTCGTCAAAAATCTTAGTCAAACTCCACTTAAGCTTGACATGTCTTGAATAAATACACAAAAGAACAATTTATATTAGGAATTTGGAAGCAGATTGGAACAGACATAATAGACAAGAGATGGCTGACCGTCTTCTTCGAGATCGCTGCCAGAATCGATGGTCTCGAACTCCGAGATGGGAGCGTTGTCGGACGGAGTTGGGACTTGAAGAGAGTCGCTTTGGATGATATGAGTAGTGCGTGAACGGATGCCGAGCAAATTAGGGTTCGAAACGACGCCGAATGACTTGTAATTCTCAATCACACTGCCTTTGTCGTCCCATTTGATCTCAGAGGAGCCGACGAGAGATCGGAGTTTCGGTGGAAGAGAAAACGCTGGTTTGAATACATTAGGGTTTTTCTTTGGAAGTCCCACTCGTACCTTCGGTCTCGATTTCTTGTACTTCCTTCGCGACCTCCCCATCTCTCTCTCTCTCTCTCTCTCTCTCTGGGTGAAGAAGAAAGACGAAGGGGGCAGAGGGTTAGGGTTTAAGGGAGAACATTGATGCTAAAGGCACAACCGGTCGTTTTAATAAATGACAGCCCATTGAAGTTTTAATATTTTTTGAGTGAATTAACACTTTGAACCCTAAAACAACTTCAAATTCACAGTTTACCTCCTAAGATATTAGAACTTCATATTCTGCACCCTCAATCACATAAAAAGGTAAAAATATGGTTCGAAACCAAATGCCTATTTTTTTAAATATATTTTTTGTATTTACCTATTTTTTGCACATAATTATTTGTATATTACTCAAATTTGTGTCAAATTTTATTTAAACAGACTATCTATATCTGGGACTATTAAACAAGTCAAGTTTGAACATTTTTTAAAACTCGTTTATGTGTAAATAGTCAAACGAGCCAACTCCCCTATCTACATCACTATATAATTGAGGAGCCAATAACATTGTTTGAACAATGTAATTAGTTGATAAGAATCTTGAATTTAAATAAAAAACATACCCCAAAAAAAACCTATTTTGATACTTACAACCCCTCCCAAAAAAAAAAACATATTTTGAATCCAATCCAATAACATTTTAATTGAATTTTGATAATACTGTACCATGTTGTTAAAAAATGGGTTTGAGAATAGAAAGGAGCCATCATAAAATGTCCTTTTATATTATTTTTTAATGATGAATTTGGTTAATAGAGAGGAACTGTAAATTCAGATATCCTTGAATTTGAATCTTGGTAACTCCTTGGAAAGGCAACGAGAGATTTCTCCTGAAAATATCTTAATTCTGGCATGAATGACTTGTCTTTGATAGAAATAGAAAGAAGATTAGTTGAAATAATCATAAATAAACCCAAACACCCTGTCGGGCCAAGTGGGGATGACCCAGGCCCTTAGTGTTTCAAAATGAAACCATATTGTATTTGTTAAGTATTATTTACAATTATGGAGTTCTAAGAACATTTATTTTTTAACTTTCACAATAACCCACTGAAGATTAATCTCCAGCTTCATACATAAGACCTGATTTCTACTCCTTGCTACATAGAGATGCCAATTGTTCACACCCATCGAGTCATTGATTACTCATTCAAGATATGCTGCAAAAATGGCTGTGGTTCCTGAGAAAATGAGATTCATGACAACTCACAGCGTATTAAAAAAATATGATTCTTGAAAGAGCACAATGAAAAAATTAGAATTCTGATGCAAGAATGCCGAGAAAGATGCTTCGGTTTCTACTAAATATCAAATGACCAATAACTAAAGTTCAATGGAATACTGCTGAAGTGAACTAGAGTATCTGCCACCACAGTTTGTCCTAAGGAATGTTGGCCAAAACTTGCTGCTATAAATCCACATCTAGCATCATAGAAACCAGAATGGTTTTTACAATCCGGAAGAACGGTTGGCGTATTCCTTAACCAACGCCCCAAAGAGTGAGTGCCTCTCGAGCAAGCGGGATGGGTTGTCAAATTCTCTTGCCCAACCTATTGAATAGAGAAAAAAAAGGGGCATTAGCCAGTGGTAACCTTTGTAGTAGACTATCTACACGTAATAATGATATGTTATAGCTCCTTGAGATAGAAAAGAAGAAATCAATAATGAAATCAAACGATGTAGGGTATTCCGTGCATCTATCACAAGGGGGGCTAAAAGCTCAATGCATGGTCTATGCATCTTGAAAGATGTGTGAAGCTTAAGGTACTTGGTTTTCCTTTCATATCCTCCCCACCCTTTGTTTTTGGGTTTATGGCCAAAATGAATTCAGTGAAATAAGAGTTGAAGATGCTGAGATGAGTAAGTAAATGATGTTTGATGTTGTATAATAGACAAATACTTAGTAAATGTGTGAAATTGGAAACATGCAAGGGGATAAGCCAACCAGTTTTCAGGAATGCACAAGAAAGCCAGGGTTTGGGTGAGGTAGAGAAGAGAATGAATATAGGAGGCCAGTTTTTCCTCAATTTGAAAACCTTAAAAACCCGAAACAAATAATCAGTCTCCTTTTGTGCATTGCATGCTTTTTGGAATTTGATATCATGGGGACTTGCACAAAGAGCTCGACCAGTAATGAAGTCACAATAACTAAAGATGAATGCCGGAATTAATCTGACTTGCCAAAGTTGCAAACACATTTGTAATAGTATTCGAGTGAGGTAAGGGAAAATCAAGAGAAAGAAGTACACACCTGCATCTACAACTAGAACCCTGTCACAGTCCATTACTGTTGGAATTCTATGAGCAATGCTGATGATTGTACAGGCTGAGAAGTCCTCCCGGATAATCTTCTGAATTACACCATCCGTCTGTGAATCCACAGAAGCAGTTGCTTCATCCATGAATAACACCCGGCTGCGCTTTAGCATTACACGTCCCAAGCAAAGAAGCTGCCTCTGCCCCACGCTCCAATTGTCTCCACTATCCACAACTAAGTGATTTCAACAAAAACAACATTAAAAATTGACCTTATCTAGCTCTAGGGAAAAAATTGGTAAAGGAGGCTTCAACTGAGCCTTGTGTAGAAGCAATGAGAATTGTACCAGAAGAATCAAGTTTCCCCGGTTTTGCAGCCACTACATCTTTAAGTTGGCAGCGTTCAAGGCTCTACAGAATAAGTTCTCAAATCAGATAAACCAGAATAAAAACTTAAGCAAATCTATTGCATTTGTTTACTCAAATGAACAATAAGGGCACATTTACCTTCCATATCTGTTCATCTGAATACTGTCCAATAGGGTCAATGTTGCTCCTCACGGTTCCTTCGAATAAGACAGGTTCTTGAGGAATGCTCCCAAAACGAGACCTGAGGTCATGAAGCCCTAGCAGCGAAATGTCAACATCGTCAATGATTATCTTTCCTCCAGCAGGCTCCACCAACCTAAAGAACACCTGGATTAAAGTTGATTTTCCACCGCCTGAACGACCCACCACACCGATCTTCTCACCCCCTCGAATGCTTAGAGTAATACCTTTCAGAACTAGAGGAGTGTTTGGACGATATCTAACCTGTTCGTCAAATTTATTAAGTGGTTGTGAAAAAGAATTCAAAATACTCCAGAAGGGACAACATTTCAGCTCAACTTGGATCAATGAAAATGCAATTTCATCACGAAGATGCCAGACAACAGTTTACACGTAAAAATGCTATTAATCGGCTGTATTGATGTATGCTAGACACATATGCATCTTACATCCACAGATATTAGCTTAAGCTTTGAGCAGGTGCTCAAAATGGTGTTAAAGTCTAACTTTTTTTTGTTTTGGGGGGGGGGGGGGGGGGGGGGTGGGTGGGTGGGTGTCAAGATAGATTATTTGATTCACCCTTCTCTATAAACTTACGTGTTTAGAGCAAGTGCTAATTAACAAGGCATTCTCAGTATTCTGTTCAGAATTCATACTATATTGTGTAACAGTAATCGTCATTAAAGCACGATAAGACATAGTGCAGTGTTTGACCAAAGTTTCAATGTTGTCATGATCCCAGAATACGTAATCCGAATATCTATGTCTGGTTACCTGCAAATCTTTGAGCTCGACATTGCCATGGGTGGGCCAATTAGGAGAAGGCAGACAATCTTTTTTCTCCCATTCTGCTTCTGATGGTATGTTTGAAAACTGTTTTAACCTCTCAACAGAAACCATTTTATTTTCCACAAAGCAACTCATATAATTGGCCCAGAACAGCACGCTATTCAGGGACAAACCATATGAGAGAGATAATCCAACATTCTCTGAAGAATACAGAAAAAGTCAGTTTCCTGAACGCAAATCCAGAAACTTAAGAGGAAATCCGTGTTGTTAGGTGACAATCAAAGATGCGTTGCCAGCGTTGGACATGCAAGTACGTAATAATCATCTTAGGAGATACATACCAGGCTTAATGATGCTGCTAGGTAACAAGATAAGGAACATTGCAGAAATACAGAGGATGAAGCTTCCAATTAGTTCCAAACGAAACCCCAACCATTCATTGGATCCATTATTGTGGAAATCCATACGCACATTTGCATTCACTCGGTTAATATTTTCCTGGCAAAAGCTTTCCTGCTTTCTGAAACAGCGGATTGTCATAACCCCAGATATGCTTTCGGAGAAGTGATGAATGACAGGTGCTTTTGTAATAGAATCAAGTCGAGTTAATTCACGAGATGTTGCAAGATAATATCCCTGAAACGAAAAGGAAAAAAATACATACTGGAAAATCTGAAGTAGTTTTTCCTTTATAAACATGGTGATATGCATGCCCCTTAATTAAAAAAAGGTAAATTGCGACACCCTCTAAACACAACCCATCCTACAGAAGCCACCCCACCCCAACCATGCTGCACCTGCCACCTTTCTCTTTCCCCCACCCTGGCAAACTTGCAGCCCCCTGGTTCGATCCGTGGCTGGTTCATCTCTCAATGTATAATGTAGTATGATATATCCAAGTTCTGAGGCCACTTTTTTCGATTAAGTAGTGGGCCTTATTGTTACTACTTTGATAAAACAAGGGTTCGCCGTGTCAATGGTGAAATACAAAGGATGGCCAGAGAATAGACCCATATATTGGGGGATGGGTTGTCATTTACCCAAAAAAAGTATAATAAAATGGCTCTGCAGGCCACATGAGAAATTCTACAAGGAGATAGACTACACCGAGTTTCCAAGAATTTCCACAGTATGGTCCAGTCATTTTCAATACCAGCCACGCAAAATTGTGGTACTTCGACAGAACTGGTGGAATCAGTGTCATTTTGGCAACCACCTTGGCGACTGCAGCAGCCCAAAATGCCCATGCAACCCATGCTATTGCAAAAAATGCTAGGCACTCATCCAGGCAATTGATGGTTATCTTTTCCCAAAGAGATTATAATTTTATTACACCAAAAGCAAATAAAAAGAGAACAAGAAGAACAAAAATCAGCAGTATAATCAATACACATACCCGATACCAGATATTCAGCCAACCGAGTGGAATTAAAAGGAATGCTATCGGCCA